CTAGGTTAGTCTTGTGTGTTTGGATAGATTTAAATGAAAATTGCAGGCATTATATTAGTTATTTTAAAAATATAATATAATATAATATAATGGCAGCAGCTATTTGCACTAAGTGAAAATAGCACATTTTCCTATTTGTAGATGCTATTTACACTGTGCAAATAGCTAGATTCTATTTACACTGTTAAATTAACAGGGTTTTCTGTTATTTATACTACTCATTGCAAATAGTGGCAATTATCTGCACCTCAGTATTGTAGTACATTATAAAACAGTATGCAATAGTAACGTATTGAGTGTAAATTATAATTTTAATTCAAATTATTAAACTGATGACACCTTATTGGGACAATAAAGCCCTCTCTACCCTATGTGATACTTTATTTTACAATTTTTTTTATTATTTACTTCATTTCTATTGAAAATAAATACCTTTCCAATGTGATATGAGATTTGAAAAGGGAGGGAAAAAAAGTTTGGCAGAAGGTAGATTCGAACTTGGGTCGATTGAGTCAAAAAGACTACGGCACACACTTTACCATCTACACCACGGTGCTGTTGTTTGACAATCATCTTTTGTAGTGTTGATCTCAATCACACGTTAGTGTAAATGACCTCTGCCAACAAGGATAAATAGACACTCCGATAATATAATATAATATAATATTTTTTTAATTATTATAATTAATTTATTTTTGGCCCTCCACTTCAACAAAGCCCTTAAATCCAGGTTTTGAATTCTGAGCTGTTTTAAAGAGACCAGGCTTCAGATGGCCACGCCTGGCTCCCCAATTATCCTCTCATAATTCCTCCATGTTTTAATTGGCTTGTACAGAGGCTGTCATGTGAAATGATGAAGGATGAGCGTTGGGTGGGCTGCATTACTCAATCTCACCAATCAGAAGAGAGGGACGCTGCATTCATTTTTTTTTTTTCTCTGTCTTCTCTCCTCTGCTGAGATTTGGAGGGTGAGAGATGGAAAGAGAGGAACTTTGAATGGCCAATGAGCCTGAATAATTGCGTTCATCAATTAAAGAAGCTAGAGACTTAACGAATATAACTAATTATGGACATAAATCAAGCAAGCTCCAGCCTCTACTAATTTGTACAAGGTTGAAGTGGTTTGACTTCTACCACTAGGAGTTTTGCAAGAAAAGCTTGCAGAGATGAATACAACATGCCACCAAAATTAAAACAACTGAAGTTATTCATCCTAAAGTTTGAGATCACCCAAAAAATTCTGTCATCATTTACTTGTCTTTCCAAACCCAAATGACTTACTTTCTTCTGTGGAAACATTTTTAAAGAATGTTCTCGAAGCTCTTTTCCACAAAGCTCCAAAAATAGCAAAGTGTCATAAAATAAAAGTGGTCCATATGACTTCTGAAGCCATTCGTTAGATTTTTGTGAAGGAAAGATAGTAGTTCAAGCTTTATTCACAAAAAAGCCACATTTTTCAAATCTCATTGACGTCTAATTATAATCAAATATCACATCAGTGATGTGAGTGTATTCTACAGTGGTTTATAACCAATCATGATGTGTCATATTTAAATATGAGCATATTTACAGTACTCCTGTTGAGAGTGGTGTAAAAGACAACTACAAATTTTCTCCATATTGCTTGAGATGAGACATTTTTCATGGCCAATTTCATTTTTTTTTTCAGCAAATTGGCTGATTTATTTATTTTTTCTTCAATCAAATTTATTTGTTGTTTATTGGCTCTATAACACGCAAACTAGCCTTAAAATATTTGTAGCCATTTGAAATTAGAAGCAACCACTGCATTTTAATTAGAGCCCGACCGATATGGGTTTTTTGGGGGGCCGATGCCGATACCGATATTAGTCAGTAAAAAAGACTGATACTGATATATCGGCTGATATTCTTTAGCGTTAAATCACCATTCAACAGACTCAAGCCACTCAAGCCGTCTATTGGACTGCAGAAAGATAGTAACTTTTCAATCTGCTACGTTACTGACTGTACTGACAAACTATGCTGACACCGTGTCTGCGCCACAACAGGACGCGACAAAGCGACCGTTGAAAATCATTTGAACTTCTGTCAGCACGTCATAAATAGAACGAGGCATCAGTTTACTGCATCCAGTGCAGACAACATCACTGATTATAATGGGTTCTATTCTACACTGGACGTGAGCGGCGCGACAAAATACAATAGAATTCTATTGTATTTTGTCGTGCCATGCGATGTGATGTGACCAATGTGATAAGCATGAGTTCTGGGCTGCGGCGCGGCCGGAATAAACACCAGCACTGACTGAGTGGCCGCGATCAGCTCCGGTGGCCGTATTTAACAATTTAACAATAAACTTTATTATTCAAAATGAGTCTGACATCCGTGCACTTAACAGTAAACTTCACTTCACTTATTATAAATAACTTAAATAAAATAAATAGAACAAAATATATATAACTTGAATGAAGAAATTAAACAAGGTAACTGTGTAGGGCAAGCAAGCTACTGCCAAACCAACAGGGGCAGGTTTATGCAGGAAGCACAGCTTTTCCAAATGTAAACATCTAAAATGAATAAATAATAATAATTAAAAAAAATTTTTCACAAACTCTGTGTTGTGTATTTTCTTGTAATCAAATGAACATGTAGAACATTCGTATTTAAATCTTATTTTTGCAGTTTAATATTCACAGACACAGTCTACTTTTCAATCTGCTACGTTACTGACTGTACTGACAAACTATGCTGACGCACCATGTCTGTGCCGCAACAGGACGCGACAAAGCGACTGTTGAAAATCATTTGAACTTTGTGTCAGCACGTCATAAATAGAACGAGGCATCAGTTTACTGCATCCAGTGTAGACAACATCCAAATTTGGTGCGGATTCGCCACGCCGTTACGGAGATATGGCCGTTCAAAGTTTCAATGGTTTTCCATAGACTTAAGCTTTAAAGCGTTTCATCCAGGTCGCCAGTAGCAAACAATGGAGCGCGCTCTGCTGGACAAACTAAGTAATTACACCATTACAGCATTTAATCTGCGTTATATGTTCTGTAAAAAAAAAATTTAATATCGGCTGCATATTCGCCGATACCGATATATCGGCGACAGGCTCATATCGGCCGATAATATCGGCTAAACGATATATCGGTCGGCCACTAATTTTAATCACAATCCAAAAAAAAGGCTACATACATATAGCATAAGCAGTATGTTTTTTTATTTTGATTTGTTTTTTTATTTGAATTAGATCAACTTTTCTGAATTCCCTTGTGATCAGTGATAAATCCGTATAACCATAAAATATTTTATATCAAATATTTCGAGCAACAGTGAGCTGCTCTGTTTACTACAGTATTTTCTCCTCTTTGTGTCCGTCTTCAGCGTCTCTGGCCTCTGTTAATGTCCTGTTTACAGACTTTGTAATATTTACACACAAATGACATTTTGGGAAATGATTGCAATGCAGTTTTTGTGCAATTCCAGAATAGAGATTGGCCAAAATAAAACTAAAAACCAGCCAGCTGCCGATCGTGTGTTTAGAGCAAAAACTGTCTGGTTCTGATTTATAGCCGGTCGACCGGTGCATCTCTACTTGAAGGGTTAGTTCACCCAAAAATGAAAATTAGCCCATGTTTTACTCACCCTCAAAGCATCCTAGGTGTATATGACTTTCTTCTTTCAGACGAATCCAACCGGAGTTATATTCAAATTTTTCCTTGCTCTTCCAAGCTTTAGAATGGGAGTAGGCTGGTGTTTTTGTTCAACAGTCCAAAAGTAGTCAAATAAAGCGCATCCATCCATAATAAAACGTGCTTCACACGGCTCCGGGGGGTGAATAAAGTGTGAATCCATGCATGTTTGTAAGAAAAATATCCATATTTAAAATGTTATACATACTTTTTTCTCACTTCTGCTGACTGTCATGCAAGCCGTTCCGGGCGGATGACGTAGGACGTTTGCGGGAGTAAAACATGGGCTAATTTTCATTTACAGTTCATAAGTCATTTGGACTAGTGATGATCTGTTGTTGGAGCTCAACAGCCCCTGATCACGATGAAATAGAGCAGCTTAAACATCTGCTTTTTGATGGTCATGACTGAATAATGACTCATCATTCACTCATGACCATCAAAAAAGAGATGTCATCATTGATGGTGACATTTTAGGTGAGCTATCTTTTTAAAAGTACTGAAATTCAGTGAGACTGAAGATGTTGGCGCTCTCTGTCCCCACACAGTGAACTTCTTATGAAATGTGAACTGTGACCATCCTCTTTTTTGAGTCATCTGGAAAAAGAATCCACGATAACATTAACAAGCTGTCTAGCGTAACTGGAAAAGCCGAGACTTTCCAGCGGAGAAAGTTACTGCTGGAAGTTGTTGACCCACAGTCTTCACGACACTCCGTCATCGAGGCCGATATGTGGTATTGCATAAAGCTGAGCATATGTTCCTCTTCATCCTCAACTAGGTCATCACCATTAAGCCTGCAACGTGAAGTTAGTTTCTTCTGAAGACCGCCTGAGTTTCCATCACAATCATTCATTGCGCTCCATACTGGAACCACTGGCTCATGTGTCATGGAATTTAAGGCCTCATTGGAAAGTTTTGTTCCATAGTCTTCCAGCACAATTGGCTGTAAAATGTAATACACGGCAAAGGAAATCGGTTTTATTTTTCCCGTATTTGGCATAGTGCTTATTATTAGTTACAAAAATTTGGTAGTACTTCTGATGGCCTGTCTTCCAGTATCATCAGTGTTGCTTTTGTGCCCATGGGGAATAACAGGACTTTCCAGGTTTGCTGCTTCAGAACTGCTTTTATCCGTTGATTTGCTTTCTTCCAAATAAGATGTGACATCAAGTCCATTAACAAATATGCTTTATATTACCTACTTCCAAAATATGTTCTTATGTATAGCCTGCTGTGCTGCTTGGCTCTTTTGGAGTCTTGAAAAATTTGATAATGGCTCAATCTTCAACTCACGTTTCTTTTGTTTGTGTACTTCAGGATCTGTCTGGCTCTATAGACGACCTCCCCACCGGAACAGAGGCGGGTCTCAGTTCGGCCGTCAGCGCTTCGGGTTCCACCAGTAGCCAGGGAGAACAGAGTAACCCCGCCCAGTCACCCTTCTCGCCCCACGCCTCGCCCCGGGTCCCCAGCATGCGCAGCGGGCCCTCGCCCTCGCCGGTTGGATCACCTGTGGGTTCCAGCCAATCACGATCTGGGCCCATATCACCTGCCAGTGGGCCAGGTAAAAGATTCTGTGTGAGATATAATTTTTTGATTTATTTTTTCAATGAGAAATTGAATATATATGTGCTGTTTCAAGTTTTGTTTTTATTTTGCTTAAAGGTACAATATGTAAGTTTTCACCGCTAGAGGGCGCGTATTCAAAACAAACAAAGAAACAAAGGCATAGTTTGATGATGCCGTGACTGAGTGTGGAATCATGGGAGTTGTCGTCTTCATCCCCACAGCCGACGCAATCCGATGGGACTCGGGCAGAAATCATGTTCATGGATGAGCTAATGTATTAAAGATTTATTAACGTCGTAGTATGAAGCAGAGTGAGGTGGAAAGCTGCCGAAGCGAAACGAGGCCGCTGAAGCAATTGCTAATGAGAGACGAGCGTGACACACGGCTCGAAAAGCGAGGGGTTATGACGTCATTGGCAGGCGATGCAATGACACTATAGACACGGTCCGTGTCACTAGTTAAAATTGCTTATTTCTCTGGATTTAAACATTCTTCGAAACATTTGGGATAATGTAAGTACACAAGTCTGCTAAATATGTAACACTGTTCTAGTGGTTTCTGGATATTTTAATAAAAATTTTTAAAAACCTTTAATTTATTTTTATAATTTGAAATACTATTTATGCAATTATTTTGAATTGTATAAGATTATTCTGTAGTAGGGATGGGAATTTTCAGGAATATTTATAATATCCATTAAAATTAGACATAGAACGTCAAATTGATCAGTCTCCAATCAATAATTTAAAGGGGTCATATGATGTTGCTAAAAAGAACATTATTTTGTGTATTTGGTGTAATGAAATGTGTTTATGCAGTTTAAGGTTAAAAAAACACATTATTTAATATAACAAAGAGTGAAAAATTTAAGGGGTTCTGAATACTTTCCGTACCCACTGTATATATATAATCTGTATGACCAAATCGTTTTACATTACATTCATTAATCAAAATAAAAAATAAATAATATATATAATATAAGAAAATAAATAATTATTATTTTCTCCATATCAGTTATTGTACATGTTTGGGTTTGCTAACATTTCTTCTGTTAAGTCTGCTGAAATTTAGCTGCTAAAAACATTTTAAATACAGACTGAAATTCTCTCTAACTAGGCACATATTCTTGATTTTCTGTTGTCAATATTTTTGGGGAAAAAAAAGATTATTATTCTTATGCTAACTTTGACGTACCCATTAGCTACAGCCGTCACATATATGTCATTTAATGGTGCCACCGTGGAGCAGTCGGAGGCTGAGGTGTTTGAGCTCCAGACAGCAGTGGCTCAGCGGCAGGATTCTAGCTGACTTTAAAACAAGTCACTCCATCATTAAAATAGTTTTGAACGTCTGTTAGCAGTTTGGAGTCACTTTGACACAATTACTGTCCTGCTGTGTGCTGCATTGTTAGCCAGGCTTCTTTGATAGCCGGGCAGCAGAGGGCTTTGTGCAGCTGAAACTGCTGTTTTTCCTTTCCGTTCTGAATGTCACTAACAAGGTCCACAGGAGAGCGTTTACCCTGCTGCACACAAAACTGCCTCATCCCTACTGGGAGCACCGACGGCTATTAGCCGCATACAGGGCTGACCCTGACATGTGATCTGTGTGCCATTACTGGAGAATGAATATCTCCGCTTTTACAAATATACACATTCTGTACATACAATCACACAAAGTTGCCCCTGGGAGAGAAACAATGAGCCTTAAACACCTCCCATGGGACGTGTGGTTAGATATTCTGCCCTCTAGGCTAATTTGTCTGATATTTATCGTGAAATGTAGCTCTTGTATGAGACCATTAACTGCGTTTGTGGTTTTGTGCATGTGCACTGCAAAAATATCTTTTTTATAATCAGTATTTTTGTCTTGCTTCCCAGTAAAATATCTAAACATCCTTAAAACAAGATAAAGATGATACGATTATTTTTCAGAGAATATGAGTTGCATTGTTTTTATTTTTTTTAGACATACAATGTAACAATTACAATATAGTTTATATAATTAAATAATAAATAAATAAACAAATATTATTCATCCATTTACAGATATAAATAATATATAAAATAAATAATATGTAATTAAATAAATAAAAAACATTAAAAACAGAATCTGAAAACAACTCTTAGGATCCTCAGAATTAGATTTTTTACTGGTAAACAAAAATACTGATCAAAAAAATAATGTTTGTACAGTGAAAGACTGTGGGTTTGTGCACACTTGTACATGTTTTTCCCACACACAGGTACACAGATGGCCCCTCAGACCCCAGGGAACGTTCCAGACGTGGGCTCACATTCCACTCACAGTCAGTCGCCCATGTCTCAGGAGAGAGGTAAGCTGATTTCCCGCAGTAACATTATGGCTCACACTGCCTCTATTTACAGCTATCAGGAAAAGGAGAGTTTTAGTGAACATCCGACAGCTGTATTTTTCATCTATCCCATGCAGTGTACTGCACGTCAGCTCTTGTTCGTTTTCCAGCAATTCCGGAGTCACTTCAGATGAATGAACTCAATTATATGTGTATTAACACATGTTATGTATTCCACTAGCAGTGTGATGCTGCAGAACCATTTTCCATGAGCAAACCAAAACTATTAAAACATTTTGTAATTATCAGCTATTTCACCGTTGCAAGTGTGATCACAATTAGGTTTACATACTCCAGAAGGGTAACATGAAATCACAGCCTTACGTTATTTACATTCTGAATACACATTTCTAGTCTAACTGTGCACAATTTATCACTGCACCTTGTTGCATAGAAAATCTTTGTAGCCTTCCGTCAAAATGTAAATGTAGAATGATCCACTTCTGAAACACACTCAGTGTGTGCATTAAATGTTAACCGACAGATAACAGCAATGATAACAATGATAACCTTTTTTCTTTAAACTGACAGAGTTAACCAGTTATTGAATCATCCACACAATGGTACAATTAATAAACATACACACACACACACACACACACACACATACTGTATATATATGTATGTATGTATATATATAAATTAATTCAGTTTTTTTTTCTGTACTGGTAAATGAGAGCGGTTTCGAAATGGCATTTTGAACATTAATTATTAATATATGTTTATATATTAACTGGGATTGCCTCATATATTGTATGATAGCATACTTTGTATGGGTAATCAATTCATTCTGAAAAACATACAGTGGTGTGAAAAAGTGTTGCCCCCCTTCCTGATTTCTTATTTTTTTGCATGTTTGTCACACTTTAATGTTTCAGATCATCAAACAAATTTAAATATTAGTAAAAGATAAGCGGTTTTCGTCTTGGAACTCTGCCATGCAGACCATTTTTGCCCAGTCTCTTTCTTATGGTGGAGTCATGAACACTGACCTTGACTGAGGCAAGTGAGGCCTGCAGTTCTTTGGATGTTGTTGTGGGGTCTTTTGTGACCTCTTGGATGAGTCGTCGCTGTGCTCTTGGGGTAATTTTGGTCGGCCGGCCACTCCTGGGAAGGTTCTCCACTGTTCCATGTTTTTGCCATTTGTGAATAATGGCTCTCACTGTGGTTCACTGGAGTCCCAAAGCTTTAGAAATGGCAAAAAAATTCCAGACTGATAGTTCTCAATTACTTTCTTTCTCATTTGTTTCTGAATTTCTTTGGATCTCGGCATGATGTCTAGCTTTTGAGGATATTTTGGTCTACTTCACTTTGTCAGGCAGGTCCTATTTAAGAGATTTCTTGATTGCGAACAGGTGTGGCACTAATCACAATTTTAACACTTCTTCACACAGAGGGCCATGTAGTTTTGGATTTTGTTTTCCCTTAATAATAAAAACCTTCATTTAAAAACTGCATGTTGTGTTTACTTGTGTTATCTTTGACTAATATTTAAATTTGTTTGATGATCTGAAACATTAAAGTGTGACAAACATGCAAAAAAATAAGAAATCAGGAAGGGGGCCAACACTTTTTCACACCACTGTATATACAGAATACACTGAATAATACTGAAAAATACTCAATAGTTTACACAATAGACAATATACACAATAGTATGAATTTCAGCACTAAACCTTACATCACCCTTTAACCAATTACCTCCTGTAACCATTACCTGGTTGTTATGGGTAATCTCTTTTTTTACTTTTTAGGATTTGCACCTAACATGCAGAGCAATGCACCTGGTCCCCAGTTTGTAGGCCAGCAGCCTGGACCTTCTATGTCTCCACACTCCTGTCCCACTGGCCCTGTGCACCATAGTGTGGGCTCCTATCAGCTGGGCCCCTCTTATGGGCCTCAGAGTGGCCAGTATGGTCCTTCAGGTAACACACGTATGGGCTTACATTTCTGCCACAATTCTGCGCGCGAAAGATCATATTTTGAGCGCACGATCTGAGTTTTGTGGAGAAAATGTTCGTTTCGCAAAGAAAAAAGTCTTTCGAGCGCACGGAAATCAATTTTAAATTTTAAATACATTTAAAGGCACAAAACTCAGATCGCGCGCGTGCAAAATGCACTTTTGTGCGCTAAAAAAATGATCTTTCGCGCGCAGAATTGTGGCAGAAATGTAAGCCCATACACACGCACATCCCAAGCTCTTCTGCATGAAAACATTTGACATTTTTATGTAAGGATTTTCTTCTATTTGTCTTGTGGGAATTTTTTATGCTCCAAATTGTTATAACAAAACACTATAGACCCCTCACTCATTCTTGAGTCGTTCCAAACCATTTTGCCTTAAGGCCCATTCACACCGTGGATGATAACTATAACGATAAAAAAAAAGTTTTTATGTTGACAAAACTATAACCACACAGGGGAAGGATATTGTTGTAATCAGTTTCAGAACATTGTTTTCCAGCTGAAGAACGATAAAAACATTGACAGCCAATGAGAATCCACCCAACACTAAGAAGCTTGAGCATTTAAAGCGACAGACAACAAAACTGAATGCACACTTATAATAAACGGAATGTTATTGTCTGTTGGTGTGGATGCTAATATTATTATTGTTGTAGTTTAATGATAATTATATAGTTATATGTTTATAGTTGTTCTTGGTGTGAATGGACACAAAAATACATTTTAAGAATGCTGCTCTTTGGTGACAAGGGGCTGCTGTCATGATCAAAAAAGAACAAAAAAGCACCATAAAAATAGTGGACCATACGTCTTGTGCAAGTCGAGTCACCTTTATTTCTATAGCGCTTTATACAATACAGATTGTGACAAAGTAGCTTGGAACTTCATTAAAAATAAAGTTTATCATTTGGTTTCTGCATAGACCTGCTCTTGCCGCTCTTGCCATTTTTACCTACTATGTGCGTGAAACGGTGGGCGGGGCTAAACAGGCAGTGATGTAGAATCTGTCGTTTGGCAGACTGGCTTCAATAAAGTCTAACAAGCAAGTTATGAGCTCTGAAACTTACAGGATGTTTTTATAGCACAATAAACTCTTATATATCAAAAGATGAAGGGAATTTTGATCTCTCAGTTCATGACCCCTTTAAAGGATGGGTCTTTAATCTAGATTGAAACTGACTGAGTGTCTGCCTCCTGAACAGTGTGAGTTTGGGTGCTAAATAGGAAAAGAATCTACCAGCTGCAGTCAGTCTTGATATTCTAGGATTTATCAACTGGCCAGGATTTTGAGAATGCAATGGATGTGGAGGAGCTACACCATTCAGGGCTTTATGTGCACTATATTTCAAGTCTTACTATAGCTTTGTGTGAGGGACACAAGCAATTTGCCCTCTGCTATACCTCTCAAATTTCATTTTTATCATTACTTTAACATCATGCACATACATGGTGTTGTGACCCATCAGACATGCAAGAACCTCTTCTTCTCAGAAGTTCTCAGAAGTAAGAAAGTAATCTGGGTTTGGAAGTGTGAGTAAATGACAGAGTTTGTTTTTTGGTGAATTAATACTTAAAGTGTCCATTGTTGTTTCAGCTGTGTGCGTCTGTGATAGAGACCCCATTAACAGGGCTCAGCAGCAATTCATCATGAATGTTGTGGCGTGCTGGTGTAATAAATGAATTGAATAGCTGCTAAGCGTGCCTTTATAATGTCATGGCCTCCACTCTGCCTGATTGATAGTCCCTGTTGTCCTGTACTCTCATTCAAATGACTGACAGCCGGCTCAAGACAACAGGGGAGCAGCCGCCGTCGCAGGCCTGACACTGACTGAGCTATAGCGGCAGTCGACCACAGAATTGTGTACACAGATTGATTGGATCCATGAATAGACGCCTCAGTCAATTCATAGTTTGGAACAGCATAAAATTTAGCATTTTATTGTTTCCTGAAGTCTACTTACAATACAGGCATTCATAATTCAGTTTTTTGGACAATTTTCCACACTCTCTCTGACTCATACACTTGTCTCATACATCTGGTTTTACATTGATTCATTTTGGTGCCCATATTAACAGGTAACAGGGGTCACACATCAGTTGAGTGACAGAGTTTCAGTGCTGAGACTAGTTTTGCTGCGCATTAAGCCCAAAGTATACTTCGGCTATCCATGTTACACAATGGTTTATCTAATGTACCTTTAAGACAATTTATGTAGATTACCTTTTTTGATTGGCTAACCTGTTTGCATATGAATCTGACCATTGTAAATTACACTGTCATTCATCAGGGCCACCAGTTTTAGTAGGGGTTACTCATTTTACTTGGGGTTTTAGTGGGGATGATATGTAAAAATGTCTCACTAGTTGACCCAAAACAATTATTTTGATCAGAAAGAGAGTTCTGTCATGACAACTCTCGGAGAGATTGGCATGGTAATGTACATGACAATGTTAATGTATTTGGTCTTGGCGGAATAGATCTGTGCTGCTGCTGCGGCAGAGCAAGTACTATAGCATACGTGAATCACCTCGTAGCAGATCTATGCAGGTGGAGCTGGGGAAGGTGGAGGGTTTCTGAAGAAAGCTGCAACTGCTACAGCAAGCGCTAGTCATATATTTGAATGTTGAGCAGCGAGCTCATTGGCTACCGATACAGGAGAGACCCAATCAGCTGTGCCATGTGATAATGATGTCATTAGGTCAGATTAAGTTAGACCTATCGGACTGCGCCATCTAGAGTTTCATGCCAGAACTCTGTATTTGTCTCTCCTGTCAACTGTTTTTGATGAAATCTCGCCCTCTTTTGTTGGAGGTGTGTTAGATTTGGCAATCAAGAATGGCAGAGGGGTGAAAGTCTTTGAGTTTCAAGCAGGACAATGGCTTGTTATTTCTTCAGAAGCTCATTGATCAATGGTCACTGCCACAGCCAAATGATCATCCCACCAAATCAACGTTAATTTTGAACGAGACGGAAGTTGATTTCTAGTCAGTAAGGCTATTAACTCAGCAGGGAGTTGAGTCATTGTGGCTGTTAAGGCTTCCCTGCTGAGATCTGATTCTCCATCAACTATGTAAATGAGGATTATGATTGAAAATCTGCTGAAAAATCAGCCGGCATAAACATTGACCGTCATGCAGTGCACTCAGAAAGTATTTAATTTTTTCCCCTTTTCAATCTACACTCCAAACCCCCAAATACTGACAAAAACGCAAAGTTATTACAAAGAAAAAAAACTGAGAATATCAAATTGCATATGTACTCAGCACCTTTTGTAGCAATTGCATCCTCAAGTCTTTTTGGTTATGAGGCAACAAGCTTTTCACATCTGGATTTGGGATTTTCTGCCATTCTTCACTGAAGATCCATTTTCTGGTTTCTTGAGAGATCTTCTATGTGGTTCAAGTCCGGCTCTTGCTGGGCGCCGGGTGACTCAAGGGCATTCACAGAGTCGTCCCTAAGCCACTCTTGTCTTGTCTGTGTGCTTAGTGTCATTGTCTTGTTAGAGAGTGAACATTCGGCTCATCTGTGGTCATATGGTCCACACAGGATCTCTGGAGCTTGGTCACTAAGACCCTTCTCCCCTGATTTGTTTTGGCTGGATAGCCAGCCCTAGAAAGACTTCCAAACGTCTTCCATTTATGAATTATGGAGGCCACTGTGCTAGTGGGAACCCTTCAGTTCAGAATAATATTTTTGTAACATTCCCCAGATCTGTGCCACAACACATTTTTGTCTTTGAGCTCTGCAGACAGTTCCTTGGACCTCGTGACTTGGTTTTTGTTCTAATATGCCTATGTATTTTTTAGCTGTTGGACTAATTTATACAGATATATTATGTCCAATCGTTTGAATATTGCCACAGGTGGAATCCAAAAGTGAGGGAACATCTCAATGATAATCCAGAGAAATGGGATGTACCTGACCTAAATTTTCTTAGCAATTATACTTTTGTCAGTGTGATATTTCAGTTTGGTGAGGGAACATCTCAATGATAATCCAGAGAAATGGGATGTACCTGACCTAAATTTTCTTAGCAAATGGTCTGAATACTTTTGTCAGTGTGATATTTCAGTTTTAACTTTTCTTTGTCATTAAGGGGGAAAATTGTGGATAAAAATAAAAGCATTTCAGCATAAGACTGGGCTTATGATGAATTTAAAGTGTTTTTGATCTGCAGAGTTTCAAACGAGCAAGGAAAATCCCCTTTTCCGTGATATATATTCCCTTTAAACAGAGAATTGTCTTAGACTCAAAGCTTAGTTGTTGATGTGAATTGAGTTGAAGGCAGGGAAAGTGGGAAGCCTTTGAGTCCTGTTGTGTCAGAACAAGCTTGGGCATTTTGTGTAGCTGAATTACAGAAACATGGGGGTCACTGAAACAAGGTGAGGTACACATCTTTATAGCTCACAGTAGGCATCAAATTGTGTTCCCATGTCCCAAACTCTCTGTCATCTATGCATTGCTCACGGCACTGTCAGAAGGGCAGCCGGCTACATCCTTCACATTCATGGCACCTTTCCCTCTTTTTCACCTGAGGGAATGTTGGGATTAACAGGGCTGGAGGAAAGTCACCACAGAGTGTCTGACAGCAGTACGGCATTTCTGTGTAATTGGCATTGCTCCAGGTCCACGTCTACATCCTTGCAGGCTGGAGTGCCCATCCTCCCCACCGTGAAGGAGCTTGTTAAGAGTCTCGATTTAGTGTAACTACAGAATGGGGGCAAAAAGCCAGCATCCAGCCAACCTGCTTCATGTGAAAATTGGAATAAATTTTTAGTCCTTTTTTTTTACACTGGGAAAGAGGAAAACATGCCAAGACTCTCTGATTTCCACAGGGAACTCTTGAAACCTGAATGAGCCAGAGATCTCAACGTTTCGACAGCTTGAGGAGTGGAAATCCCAGTTCTAATTGTGACTGAAATGCTGCTTGGCAAACTCTTCCTGCCAAGCAGCGATCTGGGCACGATTAAATTTATGCCCATTATGCACATCAGCACGTTAGACGGAACTCCGCGTGGTGAACATGATGTCTCGTCCCCTGAGAAACTTGGCGTCCATTGGTTGTCAGGCTGAATGTCCTCAGACGGTTGCTCTTGAAACATGCCATGAGGAGACATACTTCATTAACAACGGGCTCTCTGATGGCCTGCTGGGGCTTTGGTTCCACACTAGTTTTGAAGAATGTCAATTTGGCTGAAATGTGTCCAGACTTCACTGCCTTCCAATGCACTCCCACAAAGATCTGATCATTTGACTGCCTGAGAAGAAACAGAGAAAGAAAAGAATGATGTATTCCGAATTTAGACTTGCTTTTAGATCAAAATGCACCCTATTTACTTTCGGTTATTATTTACATACCGTCTTGTTGTTTCAAGCGTGTATTACATCCTTCTGGTCATTTTATGAATATCCATTACATTGTGACTTAGGCTACATTCACACTGTCAATTTTTGGGATTGACAACCGCATTTTCTTTACAGGTGTGAGTCTCGAAATGTCCCGTTCACACAGCAGCTTACAGTTGTGTTTAGAATACTGTCTGTATGAATGTGCAACGGGAGTCAAGCCCGTATTCCTTACCAGTAACCATAGCGACAGTGACCAAAGTAAAATCAAAGATGGCGACGTCCATAAAACTGAAAGTCTTTTCACTTTCTGACACGACAAGAGTCCAATCGAGCCGCGAGTTCATCCATCAAATCTTCATTAACCGACAGCAGCCTTTAAATTTGGGTGGAGCGCGAGTTTGAGTCGCGCGCAGAACACAAAACTGACGGGAGCGGCTCCGATGGAAAACTGACGGGATCTAAAAATTTCAGGTGACAGACACGCAGCTCATTTCTCCGTCGTCCCTGTAAGTTACCGAAAACACACATGAAAACATGTAACACGCGTTAGACACGCGTTTGTGCGGCAGAGCGGCTCCCTCTCGCACTGTATGACGTGACAGACAACTAGTTGTCCAGTCCTGTTCCGTTCACACAGCGCGTGTGTTCCGAGAATGCGGTTGTGAGTCCTGAAAATTTACAGGTGTGAGTTCGGTTACAGAATGCGGTTGTCACACCCGTAAATAACCGAACTGTGTGTGAACGTAACCGTATTAAGGACTCAAATACAGGACTGACAACCGTATTCTGCTGCTGTGTGAACGTGGCCTTACTTTAATGTTTAATGACGCTCCCAAGAGTGTCAGCATAAAACTACTTATGGCCCACTGATCATTTCACAAAGTTTTGTTTTCAGATATTTAAGCAATTTTGACTAAAATTGTGACTGCTTTTGTGTGTTCTCCTTTTGCACCATCCTGTGCATCAATCAATCAATTAAATAAATACAAAATACAAAAAACAAAAAAATAATAAAACTAAATAAAATATCATGGCTATTCATTAAGGGATTAAAACTCTAAATTGGCCAAAATCAAGGTTTGAAAATTGAGTAACATTGATTACATTGTAAATGCTTTTTCTGTGTTGTGTTTACGATTGTTTGGAAACACACAAAGGTTTTTTTTTTTTTTCATCAAGAGGAAGCAAGTATGATGGAATGGAACAGAGTGCAGGGGTCTTGACATGTTTTGTTAAAAAGTTTAACAGTTTTTAACTCTTAAAGGGGTCATGCATTTCTTTTTTTTGTAATGTTTCTTGAGTTGCACTTATGTTATTAGGGCTTTTACATTAGTCTTGTTTATCTCTAGGTAACTACCCACGCCCTTCTAACTATGGCGGAGCACCAGGTGCCAACTACAGCGGCCCCGGCCCAGGCATGGTCAACAGTCTTGGCATGAATGCCAGCAGTCCAATGCACGGGCAGGGTCCAGGGCAACCCTGTGGCTCTGTGACCACGGCTCGAGGACCAGGGCAAGCAGCCAGTGGCCGGCCGTACCCAGCAGGCTCCAGCAGTGTGGCTCCAACCTCACCCAACATGCCTCAGTCTGCTGGCCCAGGAATGGGTCCACCTCCTCCCAACGTCAGTCGCAAACCCCACGAGAGTGGCCCTGCATCTGGCCAGCAGAACCCAGTCCCCTCTGGACAGCCCAGGTAAATCAGAGCCTTAATTAAGTCTCCTCCTGCTTAACTAGAACAAGATGTTATGTTTGGTTTAGTTTGCATAAATAGTTAAAGGGGATAGTTCAATTAAAAATGAAAATTCTGCCATGCGTTATTTAAATGTCATTGTATACCTGTATGATTATGATTTTTTTTCTCCAGTGAAACAAAAGAAGACATTTTAAAGAATGTTGGTAACCAAACAGATTTGACTTCGTTGTATGGACAAAAATCAAAAAAATATCTTCTTTTATGCTCCACAAAAGAAATAATTTTTGGGTGAACTATCCCTTTAGGTAAAGATTAAAATAAAAAAAGATGAAAATATGTTGTTGTTTTTAATTAATTAATTAAATTAATTCCATTTGGGGAAATCCTGCGTTAATGAAAAAACAGTCCTGTCTCTGTTTAACGTTGCACAGAGTAAAGTTTTTTTATGCCTTACAAAAAAAATAATATTTTAGACAAATACAATTAAAGTCAGTATGTGTTCTTTATTTTGATTGTTATAGCCACTACTAATATCTTGATTTATTGTCACCTGATCAGTTGATTCCAATTCTGTTTATTTAAGCTTTTCTCAGGAGCTGTATCATAACCAAATATGTAAACTCTCTGCTCACGGTCACTGTTAATTGAATTAAAATAATGCCAGCTGTTGCCTAGATTTTGTTAACAAAAATACTGTAGCTTGGTTAATTGATGATCAGATAAACATGCATATTATTTATTCACAAAACAAATGTTTTAATAAAAACAAATAAGCAATAGATATTAAATACAACCATAACAAATTAAATAAATGTGTGATTAAACTTAATATGACAGTTTTGTGTAATTCTTCATTATGTCATGTTTAATTATTACTGTTCATTGCAATTTGTCATTTAAGAATTCATTTAAATGTCTAAATACTGCATATTCAATTATTTCTGATAGCATCCCCCACCTTTTCATTGGAGGTTGGTAATATTGATAGGTTTTCCTGGAGTTTCAATGAGGGGAACATGTTCTCATGTGAGGCAAGAGTGGAGAGAGAACAGCAAATGCGTGTGGACTGATTTGGTACCACTGTTAAAGGGATAGTTCACCTAAAAATGAAAACGATGTAATTATTTGCACACGCTGAAGTTGTTCCAAACCTGTATGAGTGTATTTCTTCTATTGAACATAAAAGAAGATATTTTGAAGAATGTGGCAAACCAAACAGTTGCTGGTTCCCACCATAGGATGAAAAATATATACTATGGAGGTCAATGATGATTCAAACAGGAAAGAATCTCATACAGGTTTGGAACAACTTGAGTAAATTACAAAATTTTCCTTTTTCGGTGAACTATCCCTTTAAAGACATTTATTCACCTAGATATTTAATAAAGATATTTGAATGAAGCCCCACCTTTTAACTCACATTATTACTATGTTGTCATATTCACCATACCTTCCTGAAGCATCGGTCAACAGTTCCCCTATGTAACTTTTATGCACGTTCATTAAAGGGATAGTTCACCCAAAAATGAAAATTACCCCATGATTTACTCACCCTCAAGCCATCCTAGGTGTATATGACTTTCTTCTTTCAGACGAATACAATCGGAGTTATATTAAATAATGTCCAGGCTAATCCATGCTTTATAATGGGAGTGGATGGTAGCCCAAAATTTGAAGTCCAAAAAATTGCACCCATCCATTATAAAAGAAGTCCACACAACCCCGGGGGGTCCTTCTGACGCGACGCGATGCGTTTGTGTAAGAAAAATATCCATATTTACAACTTTATAAACCTTAATCTCTAGCTTCCGCTAACTGTCGTACGTGCGTTCACGAGAGAGTGGCATCCAGCGGAAGACGTAGGACGTAGGCGTAGCATAAGCTCCAGTGAGAATACGCTAGTCTCGCGAGAAACAAGTTTTGTTTACAGCAAAGGAAAACCAGTGTCCTCTTGGCTTATATCGAAATCCTCCGACATTTTTCTTTACAAATCCTCGTTTTGTACTACTAATCTGTGACCAGTGTTTTGTTTTGCTCTCTCCTCTGCGCTTCCACGTTCGTCACTTCTGCGTTCGTCACCGCGTTTGCCTACATGCTACGTCTTCCGCTGGATGCCACTCTCTCGGGAACGTGCGTACGGCAGTTAGCAGAAGCTAGAGATTAAGGTTTATAAAGTTGTAAATATGGATATTTTTCTTACACAAATGCATCGCGTCGCTTCAGAAGGCCTTTATTAACCCCCTGGAGCTGTGTGGACTTCTTTTATAATGGATGGGCGCAATTTTTTGGACTTCAAATTTTGGGCTACCATCCACTCCAATTATAAAGCATGGATTAGCCTGAACATTATTTAATATAACTCTCATTGTATTTGTCTGAAAGAAGAATGTCATATACACCTAGGATGGCTTGAAGGTGAGTAAATCATGGGGTAATTTTTATTTTTGGGTGAACTATCCCTTCTAGGTGTATATGACATTCTTCTTTCAGACGAATACAATCGGAGTTATATAAAATCATGTCCAGGCTAATCCATGCTTTATAATGGGAGTGTATGGTAGCCTACATCATCCGCTGGACGCCACTCTCTCATGAAAGTGCGTACGACAGCGGAAGCTAGAAGTTAAGGTTTATAAAGTTGTAAATATGGATATTTTTCTTATACAAACGCATCGCGTCAGAAGGCCTTTATTCACCCCCCGGAGCCATGTGGACATCATTTATAATGGATGGGTGCAATTTTTTGGACTTCAAATTTTGGGCTACCATCCAATCCCATTATAAAGCATGGATTAGCCTGGACATTATTTAATATAACTCCGATTGTATTCGTCTGAAAGAAGAATGTCATATACACCTAGGATGGCTTGAGGGTGAGTAAATCATGGGGTAATTTTCATTTTTGGGTGAACTATCCCTTTAAGTCATTTAGCTTAGCACTCAGCAGTCTATTCGGCAGTATGTCTCCAATTAATGCTAAAGGCGGCATTTGGGACAAGGCCAAACATGTAATTACTCAGTGCACCTTTGAGTTGTCATTTCTGTTGAAAGTGAACAAGCACCAAGGAGACTTTTATGCTCTTCCCCCTGCTTCAGGCCTCCCTTTGGCAGGTCCCCTGTATACCCAGGCCTGTCTGGGCCTGGGGGACGGTCAGCCTCCTTCCCTATCCCTCACCCCCATCACCCTCACTACAGTTCTGGGCAAGGCCAGGGGCAGCCTCACGCTGAGCTATATGGGTAGGTTCAAATTCGGACCCCTGGCTGGATGGCTTTACTCTGCTTGAGTCTGCTCGCATCCGCTAGAAACGACACAAGCCAAGCGCTCTGCATAAGCCTCTCTTTTCTCCTCCTTTCACCACGGCTGTGTTCTACTCTGAGCATTTAAGAAATTGAAGCATATAGTTTTACACAGACAGGAGAAGCATCCTCTGGAGAGAACAGCAAAACGCTAAGAGTTAAAGTGAAAGAGGAAGGCTGGAAGTTTAAAAGAGTAGTTCACCAAAAAACAGAAATTCATAGATTGTGTCTTTCCAAACCTGTATGCTGTTATTTTTTCCTGTTGAACACAAAAGGGGATTTTTTTTTTACACAGCCCATTTCCATAAAAAAAAAAAATCTGTCCCGTTCCAAAATGGGCAGAAAAGAGCATAAAGTACCGTACAGTAATCATCATACAACTTAAAGGGGTCATATGATGCGATTTCAGGATTTGAGGTATTCGGCCAATCACAACGCACTGGATAGCTGGCAATCAGAGCACACCTCGCTTTTCAGAACGACGAGCTGAGCTTTGTAAAAATCGACGCGTTTTTCAGAAAGGCGGGGCAGAGAGGAGCAACAATAATGTACAGTATGTGGAAAATAATGTGTTTTTTTAACCTTAATCTGCGTAAACACATTGCATTACACCAAATACATAAAATAATGTTATTTTTAGCATCATATGACCCCTTTAACATTATACAACTTAGCAGCTGGCCTCTGTTGTTCTGAAATCTTAATTTTTTTACATTAAGATATAAAATTGGTTCATTGACAAGCACATCAAGTCACAGGATTGACATCATATCTGCCAAAACAGCATTGGTTCTCACATATGTAGAGAAATGGAGAATAGGATTTGAGAGCTGTAGCAGAACCGAATATTTTCATTGAATAATGACTTATATTTCAGTCTGTTTTCACAAAAAGTTGTCACATTAAATTTCACAAGACATGGATTGCAGAGAAAAGCTGTGTGAAGATTCTTTAAATGTTTGCTTGTGTTTTCCATTAAAAATATAACAGCATATGAGCATCATGGACTGATTTTTGTGTGTACTTCACCTTTAAGATATAATCCAACTGATTTATTTTTATTTTTTATATATATATATTTACATTTCTAATCCAGGAGAATTTTTCTTCTTTTTTTAATTATTATTATTATTATTATTATTTTGTTAAAGAATACTACACATACAGTATTTCACAATAATGTGTAGTTTCCAGTAGGACTGCAGGATTTTGTCCAAAAAATCATATTGCAGTTACTTTTACAGTGCTGACATAATGAACATTTAACTTTTTGTTTCTGCTTTTAAAGGCTAAATAAAACAAAGGCATATTACAACAGCAGCTCTCATGTTCAACAGTGTGTGCAAAAACGCCAAACTATAAACATGCCTTTTGTATCAAAACTAAGTTTGTTTTGGCCACTTATTTTCTGGATTTAAAAGTGGACTTGGATCATTTTTTGTTCTTAAGACTAAACTTGAGAAGTGTAAAAACACTGTATCATGAGCTCTAAATGTGATTTGGGTCACACCCATTTTAATGATTCCATAAGGTCATATGCTGTAATTAAAATTAATAATTGTGCAGCCCTAGTGCAGTTTTAGTTATGGCAGATGGCCATCTGAGAAAAAAGTTGTCATACATGAATGTGACATGTGGATTGTTTCTTATTTAACACTGAAGGTCTTTTTTAAAACTTAACATGGCATATAGACAACGCAGGAATCACTTATTTTTCCTTTGCGTATTAATTCTGAATGTCTTAACCCTCTCTACTGTCCCTGCATATTTGTTGCTTGCCAGCTAAAAGAAAATAAAGAAGAAAAGAAAAGAAGTGTACTAACACCTTACCAATGAACTCTTCACATCTTAAACAGGCTCTTGAGCTTTGTTGGTGTCCTTATGTTTGTGTGCTGTTGTCCGTAGGCCAGGCGGGTATCAGGGTGGGCCCCACATGCTTGGGATGGGTCCTGCAGGCCCCTACAACCATCCACCGAGCAACAGCTCAGCCAGGATGACCCCTCAAGGACTGTCCTACAACACAATGCCCACAGGTGCGTGTTTAGAGTTTTCACTGATATATTCATGTGACAAGAATTACAAATCTTGCACAGTTTTTCATTAATAAAGAAAATTTATAACAATTAATCATTTTACACTATAGCTCAATAGTTTTGGCTCGGTAAGATTTTTTTAAATGTTGTTGTCTCTTATGCTCACCAAGCATAAGAACATTATTTGATTAAAAATATAGTAAAAACATTAATATTGTTAAATATTGTTATAATTTCAAATAGCTATTATAATACATTTTAAAATGTAATATATTCCTGTACTAGCAAAGCTGAATTTTTCAGCATCATTACCCCAGTCTTCAGTGTCACATGATTCTTCAGAAATTCTAATATGCCAATTTGGTGCTCAAAAAACTTTTTTTGTTTGTTATTATCAATGTTGAAAACAGTTGTGCTGCCTAATATTTTTGTGGAAAATGTACATTTTTTTTTTTTCAGGATTCTTTGGTGGATAGAAAATTCAAAAGAACAGCATTTATTTGAAATAGGAATATGTTATAGCATAATAAATGTCACATTTGGTCAGTCTTATGCATTCTTTCTGAATAAAAGTATTCATTTCGTAAAAAGTGTGCTTGAACTGTAGTGTATATCAAGCATATTCTATAAATCTGTTTCACAAAGTATTTTATTTTTAGAGATATTATATAATGTATGTTATATATATATATATATATATATATAATATTTAAAAAACTAACACTAGCTTTTCTAATCTTTTTGTATTCTATCTGTTTTCTTTTTATTTATTATATAATTAACAAAAGCAAAAAATAATAATAATAATAAAAAAAGGCTTCTAACATTAGCTTGCTCTATTCTTTTTCTATTCTATCTGTTTTTTTTCCTTTTTTTATTTATTATATACTTAAAAAAACAAACCTTGCTACGTGTAATGCGTTAAGCTAGCTGAGACTTGTTATAGCACTTGCGTATCATTGCTCTTTTGTTAATTTTGATTGCTTCCATTGTCCTCATTGGTAAGTCGCTTTGGATAAAAGCATCTGCTAAATGACTAAATGTAAATGTAAATAATGCTAGGCATTTGCATTGCGCCAAGTTATAGATGTGCTGTTACAGTATAGATGCACATATGCCTTTGTTTGGAGGGTGTTGATAAGATGTTGTGCAGATCTCTGGATGGTGCAGTCTAAGTGTCAGAATCTCCTGTAGGGCCCATGACAGGCTCAGGGGACAGCATGATGCCCACCGATCCCAAACAGAGAGCTGAGCACAAGGAGGAGGGCAGCACACCCACCACAGAGCCTCCTAAGCCAAAGGTATGAACAGACCTTTCTCCCTCTTAACTCACTGAGCATGTCCAGAAGCTGCTCGCAGATAACTCTGAATTCTAGCACTACTCTTAAACCTTCTTTGTTGCATTATATGCACAACCTCTGACCTTTACTTTACCCATGACTTTGTTAATATATGCTTAGTAAAGGTCTGACACCGTGTCCTAACAAGGAGCGGTGTGATAAAATGTAAATGTAGTCCAGTCTACACTGAAATCTCGTTGGTCTAATCTCCTGCTTCATGTACTTGTATATTAAATATCGACTATCTTCTGATTGGCTGTGATTGTGTAGAGTTGTGAAGCCTTGTTGACAGACAAATTACTTGCCGCTGTAATTTAAACACTTTAATTATACTGGTTATAGCCTAATTGCTATAATAATACCCATTACCAAAATCTACGAAATGTAGATCCCCAATTTGTAAGCACAAACATGTTTTATGGAGCATAAGCAGAAAATAAAAATCATTGACATTTTTATAAATTGAAACCATATTTCAGATTTCATGATAATTTTGTGAAGAATGTTGTGAGAGGAAAAATATTTACACTCTTGTAGCTCTTGTAATTGATCATTTTGTTGTTTATACTCCATAAAATGAGCGCTGAAAGTATGTTGTTCTTCAATAGTGTTCCTTTTCAATGTGTTATTCAGTAAGCAAAGGAATATAATTCTCTCATGTGTCCTAATGAGAGCTCATGTAAGCTCTGGAAGACATTATTTCAAAATGTTCTTCTGTATAACTCGTTCTTTCTCAGTCATTGCCCTTACTTTCATCAGAACTTCATTGTGTCATTAAGTTCAGCTTTCATTTGATTGGTTGAAATATGGCGCACTGGCAGAGCGTTCTCTCTGAACTCATCTTTCCATTCTCGCTTCTGGATGTCATTTTTTTCGGTGGTTTTGTTTCATCTGTAATTCAACGTGATGTTTTGTTTTGTCCCCTTACTGATTAGAAGGAAGTAGTTCTGTCACTTTAAATAATTCTCAAAGAATCCCCTCTTGTTTTCATCCTGGTTCACAATAATCTCTATACGTTTTTTTTTACCTCATGGCTTTTAATGAAACATGTAAAAAACATCACAACAAACAGAAGTGCCATCAAACGTTGACCTTTACGTCTGGTCCAGCTGGATGCATTACAAGCATCGTGTTCTTCCTATTTCTGCTGAATTTCTTGTGTGTGTGCTCTTCTGTAACAAGTATAACAAGTCCTGACATATAACACAGAGCTGCTTGAAGGCATGACTTGAGCTTTCTTTAGTACAGCTCAGAGTGCTGCCACCTTCAGCAAGAGCCGAGCACAAAAAGAGTGTGACAGAAAAAGATTTGAAGTGTTATATACTGAGTTTGCCAGTCTTTCGCCAAACTTTCTCAGTGCTTCTCATGCTACAGACAGTAGACTCACATATAGGAGGTTTTTAGGAAAGTGAATTGCAGGAGGGGCATAGAGGACCTACAATAATGTACAGTATTTGAAAAATAATGTGTTTTTTGAACATTAAAGTTACACCAAATACACAAAATAATGATCTTTAAAAAAGCATCATATGACCCCTTTAACCTATAGGGATCAAGCTATCCTTTTTCACTGACAGGGTGCCAAGTACTCATGCTGATGAGCATTTCCACTATCCACTGAGAAAAAAATTAAATAAAATTCTCGGCTGCGAAAATTGGCTCTGTACCGGCCCCCTAAACCTGCTGGAGTAAAATATCCTCAGAGTGCAGTTTTCAGAAGCTCTACTGATAATAGCAAATAATAGTGCAATTTATTATTACATTATTTGCTTGGATATGCAACAGAGCAAAATTGACAATATTGTGGAGTTGTATGTTACTCAGTATTACTTATTGATTTGAGCTGTTTTATAAAAGCAATAACCCACTCGCAATCATGCTGTTGGTAAATTTCCTGCTATAAATTTGTATTCATTTTTTTTATATAACAACCGGTAATTACATCAAATGCAGCTTGTGATGGCATAAAGCTGAATAAAATTACTTTTAGTAAAAAACATGAGCTTGGTTCTGTAAGAGTATTACGCATCATTTCGGTGGACAAGGAGTAAAGGTGATCTGAAAGCTGTCCCTCCATTAAACGTGTGTGTGGGTTTCCCTATGTTTTCTCCATCACAGGACAACTACGGCTCTCAGTGTGTGTCCCAGCCTCCCACCCCGTCCCCTCTGTCCCCCAGCCCAGCTAGTCTGTCCTCTTATCAGGGGGACGACAGCGATAGCATTAGCAGCCCTGCCTGGCCAAAGAACCCCAGCAGCCCTGTAAGTGCCTCATGCAGCTTTACTATCTTCTCTTGATTTTCCTGGTTTTCCTCCTTCTTCTGTGGTTATTTAGGTCTCCTGTTTGATGGTGTGAGCTGTTTTGACCTCAGATATGATGTAATGAGACATTGTGGCTACCACAAGATTGTTATCCTCTTCCTAGCTTCTTTTCAGTAATATCCAGTGTTGTGGAAGCTATTTTAAAACTGTTCATAAGAATTTCAACTGCAGTCTAGAAAAAAAACAAACTAAAGTAGTTGGCTACACTTCAGGCAGCTGCATAAAGGGAGCATTATGTTTTTAAATATATAACTATATATACATTATACAATTATATAATTTAACCAGAACCGTATTTATCTGGCCCAGAAAAAGTTTTTTTTAATGATTCAATCCCAATGTGAATCAGATTTTACATTATGAGAGAACGGACAGTTTATTCCCTCTTGATTTAATTGTTGAGTTATAATCAGCTATTAAGCTGAGTGCACAATACAATGTGACAAAAATTGTGAATAAGTAGCTAGTCACTCTAACAGCTAATTGATTTCGAGAACAGCTGAGATAAATCAATGTAGTCATTAGTTTGTTGTTGTTTCTCTAACACTGGTAACATGTTCTTTTTTGTAATACTACTGCCAATGTTTTTAACTTTATATGATGAAATTTTATTCAAAATCAATTCATTTTACGGTTGACGCTAATTACCCAGGTAAAAGGAAATATCCTTATGAAATGCATTCGAGAAGAGGGATTAGGGAAGACTTCACAGATAACTGGTACATGGTGGATCAGATTTTCAGGAAAGTTTTAAATAGAAATCAGTAGGGGTGCTCCGATCAGAGTTTTTGAGGCCGATCACAGAAAGCAGTATCTGCCGATACCGATCACCGATACCGATCTTTTTAAAGCCTTCTTTTTATAGTGATACTCCAATCAGAATTTTTAGACATTTATTCAGGGCCTGAATTTCATTTTTGAAAATAGGGGGAATTCCCCTCTTAGTTGACTCTTGTGAGAGTCCGCTACTGATCCGTGGCTGTTTACCACAAACACAACATTTATCCATTATTTTGATTTCAAATCCAAGCATTGTCACTGAAAATGCTCAGTGACAATGTCTCTGCACCGCTCCTGGAGCGCTCTGCCGGACAGCAACCGTGTGCAGTGAACGCTTTATTAATCCGTTAACATGAGCGCGGAAAAAATACGCACCACATATGGCACTGCAAACGGAGTAATGTGAACCTGGCATTATGTGTG